TAAATAATGTACCATTTCTTTTATTAATAAATATCTGTCTTTTCAGAATTTGTATCATTACCTTAGTCTTGCTGGGATTTATATATATATATATATCAAACATAATATATAAATTTATTTCGTATAAATTGAAACCTATTTTTTATAAACTATTTATGGAATGAGAGAGCACTTCTTTATCGCATTATGCGTTTCACAAAATCTACATCCGAAAAATGCGATTATCTTAATATTTTCTATGTATAAAATGTCTCTTTATCTGTTTGTAAGAAAAAAAAATTAAAAAATTAAAATAAAATGTTTTTCTTCTCAATTAAACTCTTCCTTTCTTCAACTTTGTATTGAACGGATAATCGCGCTTTCCTTAAAATTCTATGTTTTCTCTCTCAGTCTTGTTCTATGTTTTCTTCTATGTTTTCTCTCTCAGTCTTGTTTTCCATAAAAACAATCATTATAAGGCTTGTGCGAAATCAAGTTCTTTTTTGGAATGAATAATTATATCTTATAGGATGTTGCAACGTGATCATAACATCTCGAATGATTATTACTATTATCTCATTTCAGACTTTAAGGTTGTTATAATTTTAATTAGATTGCCTGTTTTCAAATTGATGTAAATACCGTTAATTGCAAATCTTGTTAAACTTCCAAGTTAGAACAAGCTAATCCAATTATTGGGCAGAAATTGATTCTTGTTAATCGTTGTTCTTGTTAATCGTCTATAACAACATTTTTTATAACTATTTATGCTTGTGAGAAATGTTGGTAATTTGAAACAAGATCCAGAATAAAAATGATGACAAAGAATAACAATTGACATAAGGATAAAAACTTTTTTTGAAAATTTAAAGTTTTACCTTTATGCGGAATTTCTTTACTTGATTAAATCTTTTAGATTTTGCATTGTACCAAATTTTAACTTAGATATGAATAAAAATTAAATGTATATTTTTACTTAATTATTTATATTAATATAAATCTTTTCACTGAATTTTTTGGCTAAATAAATTGAAAATATTTTTTTCATAGGAAATATTTCTTCTTACGTGTTTATTTGAATTCTAGAATTCTAGAAGAAACTTATATAAAAATCCTTTTATATATATTATATATATATATATTACGTAATTTACTTTTTACCTTTTATTTTAATTATCATATTTAATAATATGTAATATATTAAATAATATATTAAATAAGTAAGAAGATAATAATTCACAAATGTCTCAAACATAAAAATCATTTTTATCTTGTAAAATTATTTAAATATTAGTATACCAGCAGATTTGATCATGACTTTGCAATAGATTTCAAGTTACTGTTTCTTACGGCACAGCTCGTCAAAATATGACGATAAGAGAATGACGTTGAAAATTCTACAAATTCTACAAACATTGAGCAACGCTTCCTATCTTATTGTAGCAGTAAATATGTAATAATTATTGTGCAAAATCTGTCATATCAGATACTACAGAGCAAAAATCGAGCACAATGTACCATCAATATAGTGACAAAATTGCGGTAAATGTAGATCACGAGCAGCTTTATCAGATAATGGTAGACAAAAAACGCAGCAAAAACCATGCATTGTGTCCGATTTTTATTGCTATTTGATGTGATAGATCATGCTGCGTTCTTGCCGCATTTCTGCTGTCGCAATATGAGAAATATGTTAGATTTTTTTCAAATCTATCAATATCTTGATGGCATATCATGATTAATTTTGGAGTATTTTCTGTTGGTATATTGTGTCAATACAAAATGCTCGAATTCTGTTCTCTTTGTAACGATGAGTTTTTATTCAATTTTTGCGATATTTTTTTAGTACGTTATGACACTTGTTTGATATTTGATGTATTTTTGTTGACACTATCTGTTATAGCAGATAGCATCTGATACGACAGATTTTGCACAATAATTGTTTAGATTTTTTAAATTATTTTATCCATTAAAATGAAATTTAAATATTAATTTTATATGTTTTGATGATTTAAATACTCACTCTTTAAGTGCTTTGCTTCTATTATTATCCGAATTCATAAAATTTTGTAGATACTTTTGAGAATCTATTTTCTATTGCTTAACAATAGTATCGTTATCGTTATATTGTTGTTACGTAGTTTTCCTACATTTATCTGTAATGACAACGAAATAATATTATCGTTTAAAGTTACAGAATAATAAATATGACTGTCACAACTGTTTTAAACTTTTCGAAATACTTTTGTTGAAATATTAATGACGTTATGTTTTTATATTCATAATTAATACAAAAATAATCATAATTTTTTGAAAACCATTCTTTTCCTTTATAGAAATTCAGTTTAATATTAGCCAATTGAAATTATTTATTTTTAATATTGAACAACAATAATTTTAATATTTAAAATAAATAGGTAATCATTATCTTCCAGTGAAAGTATTAAATTTCTATAAAGGTCAAGAAAAGTATTCGAGAAAAATAAAAAAAATTTTTAATAAATGAAGTGCTGATTAAATCCGATCAATTAATTCTTGATTTCTTGCTGAATTAAAAGAAAATATGACAAATAATTATCGCAATGTTCACAAATTAATAAGCATTCATGATTTTATCGTTAAGCATTTAATTACGTTTAAGTATTTAATTACGTTACGATTAAAGATGATCAAATTCAATATATACTTAAAAAATCGAATTTCATCGAGTTTCATCTTTTAGAATTCATAAGAAGTAACATTTCATATATATTGCGCTTGCGAAATAATTGATCCTGTGTAGTTATGTTTGAATTTTAGAATGAGTATCTGTAAAATTCAAAATATACTTTAATAGAAATAGTTTGTATCTTAAAGAATCGGATTTTTTACAAGTAGCACTGGAATTTTAAGAACTTTAAAAAATTGTTAATTTAAAGATTGTATAAAGCTTTTATTCTATATTTTTATATTAAATTTCTGTTATATTTAATTTTTTCCGCGATTATTTGTAAGTATGTTTTGATAATCTAATTATTTTTGTAGTTATTAAATATAACACAACATTTAATTATAACATAACATTTTTATTCGAAGGAAAAGTTTCTATTAAAGTATTCATAAAAAATTTGAATACAAATATACTTTGAAATTTGATTCAAATATACTTTTTTGAGTCTACTTGGAAGTGTGCACTCTCGTTTTTCGAAATATTCATAGAGAATTCAAAATTATGCAAATAAATTCAAACCCAGTTAAGATACGTTAAGTTAAGGTAAAATACTTAATCTCATTGCTAATTGTGATACATTTCAAAATAGTATGTGACAATGTCGTAAGTTTTTTTTCAGGTTCAAATCTATTTGAAAGTACTATTTTTATTTTTCGAAGTAATAAAAAAATTTTAAGAAATTATGCAAATAGATTCAAATCTATTTGTACAATACTTAATCTCTCTCTCTTTTTTTCTCTTTCTCATCGCTAGTGACTTCAAATTAGTAACTTATGACGCTTATGATAATGCTGTCTAAGATTTGTAATTTTAGTTACTGATATGTGTTGATAAAATCACACCTATTATCTTTTTTTCTCATTTCGTGATTGTCTTTTTGTGACATAAGACGATTGATCTCAGAAAAGTTATAGTCTACAGTATTGTCTTATACAATCTGTATATTTTTAATTTATTTTTGCTAAAGATAAAATAAATAATGGAATAGTATAAATTACTAAGTTATTATTAAATTAGTACGGTATTTCTTATATGCTTATTATTATCTTTTGCAAAAATAATTTACTTCGTAAATGATTCTTGTGTTCAACCAATGTATGTTCTAGGGCTCAATTGATAACTATAGTTATATAAGTTATGTAAATGATATATCCAAATAATATCTATTACTTAGTATTAATCGATTATCGATAACGTGATACATCTATCATAAATTTTTCTGCTATTTTAAAAAAAATCATTTATTTCGCTATTAAATTCTGGATAAAATCAGTGCTGCTTCTAAAAAAATAACCTAATATAATAATATATAAGGTAAATAAATTCTGTATTTATGCTTTTTTTTATTATTTTTATTATTTTTATTGTTACAAAGTTATTCTAGATAATATTTTATTTTTTATAATTTATAGTGATATCACATTTTTTCATATTAGTATTCATCATATTTAATATAAGTCACACAAGAAAAGATCTTTTGTACAAAATTTGACTGATGCCAATTTCATCGCTGGTCAAATTTAATACATCCATTGAATTTGTATATACGGAATGGGCCAAATAAAATGTTATGATTAAATAACTGCAATTTTTCCTTTAAAAAAATTAAAAAATATAATAAAATTGTAATTAGAAATTGTTAGTTTAGAAATTGTTTTATATTTTGTACTTTTACATTCTGGCATAAAATATGAAATAACTTCTGAGCTAATAATTTCTAAGGATAATTTTACAATATATAACTTTTGTAAAGGAAGAAAAATTCCATCGGTCTGAAAATATGGAGTTATATTTGAAAAAACAATTTACAATTTACTACTTTTTAAAAAAAGTTCCTACAGAATGAAATTCAATTAACATAAAAACATTTTCAGCCGAAATTAGCTATAATTCACTTTGTATATTATAAAATTACATTATTTTGTTGCAAATTTGATTGCAAATTGTAAATTATAAAATAGTTTTAAAATAAAATTATACAAAGTATAATTTTCAAAAATAAAACCAGGAATCTTAAATAAGATCTCTATTACATATTTTTGTTATTTATTTTAACAACATTTTTCTTAAAGAACATTATTATAATTATGCAATTAAAAGAATTGGTTTCAATTATTTGGAATTTGTAATTGCTCAATTACTTATAAATAATAATTTATGTATAAATAAATATTACAAGGTAGTATGTAGATATTATAAAATGTCTTGGATAACTTTGAATAAATTTTAAATTTTGAGTGATTTACTTTTTTAACAAAAAAAGAACTGTTTGAAATGTGATAGTGTTTAACAATTATAAAATATATCTTATACATGTGTTACAAGATAATTTGCCTAATTGTTATTTGCAAAATTTAACTTGCATATTGAATACAAATATGTATAGTTTTAAATACATAAAAAAATGTATAGCTTTAAAGCTAATATATATAAATATTCAATAATTTTATAACATAAACTCAAATATATATGTACGAGTATAATTTATTTAAAAAAATTTGATTTACAAAAATTATTAAATATGTTTACAGCTGCTTGTTTTTAGTTTGTGTATTTGATAAGCAAAATAAATTTTGTAAATAACAATTATGCAAATTATCTTATGACATATAACACAAAATATAGCTATTAATATTAACTAGCTATAAATATAGCTATTAATATATAGCTATTAATAGTAATTGTTAATGGATAACTTTTCGATGGAATTATTTTAATTATTATATACAGAATGTTTCAGAATTCTAGTAAAAACAAAGAAATGTTTTTTTTTGAATTATTTATCTATTTATTTATGTATTTTTATAATAATAATAAAAAATAATAAAAAAATGTAAGTAAGTTAAAAAATAAAATGATAGTTTTTCTCTTTTAATTGTATTTGCTTTCTCTTTAAGTTTTTTATCATACATTTCTTTTTATTAAAGAATAGAAGATTTCTATTTCATTTTTAAACTTTTCATTTCTTTTTGATTATTTAAAAATCGAATATTACTAAAATACCTTGAAATTGAATATTACTAAAATACTGAAGTCTATTTGGAATATCTGATCTATGTTTAGACCGTAAAAGTATATGAACTATTGATTATAATTTTATTATATTATTTATTTGTATTGCAATATTATAAATGCAAATTAGATTTTTTATTCTCATTAAACATAATAGCGTTTTTAAAAAGATGATAAAGTATTTTGAGATCTGATCCGTAAGTACTTAATAGTAATACTAATACTTAATAGTAGATCATTTTTATAACATTTTATTAAACTAAAATTAAAAAATATAAATAATTACAAATTTTTATATAATATCTATAATTTTTTGTAATTTTAATGTACACATTTAATAATTATGTAACGTATTTAAAATGAAAATTTTGAAATATTTTCATAACAGAAAAAATTTCTATAAATAAAACTATCATAAGAATATAAGTATATACATTTTAATCTTTATCAGTTTCTTAGAAAAAAGATAATTTGCAATACTTTTGAAAGTTTATAATATATTCATTTTGTAAGAAAATTGTATTCTTATCAAACATAAAGTACAAAGGTGTTTAGTAATGAATAAAACGACAAGAGGAGAGGTACAAAAAATAAGGATACATAAAATTAGAAAATAGAACTCAAAAAACGGTATGTGAAAAAATTAAAATACATTACATAATTCTCTATATTATTTTTTAAATTATTCTATGATTTATGCCATATAAAAAGTCTCCCAGAATTCTCATATATAGAAAACAAAATTCTTTGTAGAAGAAATAATTTATTCTTATAACAAAATTATATTTGAGTGGTATTTATTTTCTAAATAAAAATAATTTAAAATTATAAATGTTTGTTTTTAAATACGCATAAGTTAAGGCGTACATTGTACAGTTAACCGTAGGTCTATTTTATTATTTCTTTTAAAAATTTTAATAATTATAACATATTTTAATATTATTAGTTGAAAATACAATTTATTTAATAAAAGAAAGTTTTCTAACTGTTTTTATAACAATAAATAAAAGTAAAATAAATAAATTAGATAAATAAATAAGATGTTAAATTGAATTGTTCATTTCAATGTTTTAAGAAGTTTTGACAAGAGTTTGTAAAAAGAATTGAAACATTATACACGCGCATAGATCTAGAATATATATTTTAATTAATAATAATTAGCTGAAGTAAAGAGAATTATATATACTTAGCAACATTGAATGTTAATGCAAATATCACAATTTAAATGAATTAATTTTAATATGTGTAGCTATATTAAAAAAATATACATAACAATATTTACGGATGATTCTTTATTGTATTTAAGATCGAAACATATATATTTTTCAAAAATGTCCATGAAATCGATTAATATAAGTATATATTTAAATAACTAAATTTGTATTAATTTTATTAAGAAAAAATGAAATATAATATAATTAAAAATTAAACAATTTAATTCACATAAAAATTTAATGAATAAATACCAAATAATATTATATAATATATATATATATATATATATATATATATATATATATATATATATATATATATATATATATATATATATATATTATAATAATTTCTTTGTTGTGTTTGGAATAGATGGTAATATTCAATTCAATAAATGAAAAATAATCAGTAGTCAAGATTTTATCATATAAATTCAGAAATGATAAGAAATGCAACAGTATTTTATTTATGTATATTATATTATGTATATTATGTATTTATGTATATTTATGTAAAAATATTAAAGTCGGAGGACACCATTGTTTTGAATATCTCATTGAATAAATTTTTTGTTAGAAAAAATAAAGTTTAAAATATCTGAACTATTGATTTTTCGACAATTCTACCTTAGCATTTTTATACATAAAATAAAGGAATCATATTATGTAAAAAAATCATATTTAAAAAAGTGAAGATGACCTTTCCAATGAGCAGAATGTCGCATAAGACAACTTTAAGATATCTTTAAGAATTCTTTAAGAAACATCTTTAAGATATCTTATAAAGAATTATGAAAATATCTTGAAATTATCTTGTGCGTCGATTTTAAATATTCTGTTCACTGGAATCCATATCTTTCTAGCATCTCAACCTAGGAAAAATTAGCGTTACCAAAATGCATTCGCCTTGAAAATCTTTCACTTGAAACATTTTCTTGCATCAATAGTTTTGGAGAAATTTGACTGGACATATTCGTGACTTCGAATGACTTTGAATATCTACAGTCATTATATTTGTGTTGAGGTACCGATCGTGGGGATTCGAGAGAATATATATGTATATATGTATATTGTGATATACGTATATATGCGTGTATCATTGTATTGTATTGTATTGTGGTATATGTATATATGTGTGTATCATTGTATTGTTGACATGTTATTCTAAATACGTTATTTGCGATAAATATCATCACATGCCTCTGTAATCGAAAGGCTAAGGTAGCCTGAGGTAGCCTACAATCTATAGTCATTATATCTGTTATATGTGTTGAGGTAGCCTATAATCGCAGATGTTCGAAATTGGATAGTTCCATTTAAAAAAGTGAAGGTGACTTTCATATTTTTTTAGCGTCTCCACCTAGAAGAAAACTAGTGTGACCAAAATGTGTTCTCCTCAACACACTTTCATCTGAATCATTTTTTCGTATCATTAAAAATAAGTTAAATTTTCAAGGTGTTTTGATTTAAGTAGACCGATATTGTGTATAATTATATATTTTTGTATTAATATATTCTATATAATTATTATTCTATATAGAAAATTTTTTGCCGGATTCGTAAAACAATTTTAATCCAATCTCACAGATTCTCAAAATGAGAGATAAATTATTTATAGCATCGCTGTTTTCCTTGTTGTATATTGTGAACTTTGTAATTACAACTTCACAAGAAATTAGTAATAATAAAAATAAGAAAAAACAGAATAAACCTCATATTATTATAATTCTTGCTGATGATATGGTAAGTACTACTTTTACTACTATTTAAAAGTTCGATATAACAAATTAGTTCCTTTTCTATATCAAAATTTTGTTAAAATTGTGATTAAATTTAACACCAAAAAAAAATTTCTAAAAAAATTTTTATTTAACAGTAAAATTTTGCCGCTTTTTTATAATCTTTAAATGAATCTTGAAATATAATATATTTTATCTAAAGCAATTATTAATGAATACATTAACTATACTATACTACTATACTATACTGTACTATATTGCTATATAATATACTTATTAATTGCATTAACTAATGCTATTAAATATTATATTTACTTTTAATAGATTACTCTTTTTTGTATTTGCATATTTTTAAGTTTGCATATCTTTAAGTTCTATGACAAAATTACTTATTATTCTCAAATATAAGTTACTATACACGAGTTGATTTAGATAACAAATATGATAAGTTTAAGCGTTTATACCTACTTATTTATACCTTCTTATTTGGCAGGGTTGGAATGATGTAAGCTTTCATGGTTCTGATCAAATCCCGACACCGAATATCGATGCTCTCGCATATAACGGAATAATTCTAAATAATCATTATGCATTGCCATTATGTACGCCAAGTAGATCATCTTTATTGACAGGAAAACATCCAATTCACTTAGGCATGCAACATGATGTTTTATATGTATCAGAACCACGTGGACTTCCACTTAGTGAAAAATTATTGTCACAGGTACACAAGTTTTTATTTTTGTGGAGTAATATAAGATAAGAATATTATATTTAATAATAAAACAAAATAATTGTCATAATATGCTAAAATTATAATGCAAGTATGTAATTTTTGTTTAAATAACGTCGGAAATTAAATAGTCATTGTATTGTAAAGTGCCAACAAATAATAATATTAGCTATATAAAATAGTTGATTATTAAAATTATGAGATAAAATTTAAAATTAGTTAAGTGATCTTAATTAAAAAATTACACATCCTAAAATATTTTTTTAAATAACATTAAATTTAATTTATTATGTATCATTTTATTTATCATATATTCGTAGCAGCATTGATCAAAATTAGTTGAATTAGTTAATAACAAAAAGTATATAAAAATAATAAATATAATAAATATATCCCGACAGCCAATAAATATACTCTGAAGAAACAGATTATGCGTAGAGTCTGCTATAAATTTTATGATGCTAGAAAAGCAACAGGTTGCAAACAGACTTTATAGTATTTGACGTCAGCAAACTAGTGCTAGAAACCTAACAAAATCTGTTGACATTCTGAACCAGGAGACTGACAGCAGAAATCGAGCAGGACCTGTGACACAAACTGATAGCAGGATCTGCTTGACTTCTGCTGCCAGTCTGCTGGCACAAAATGTCAACAGGTTCTGTCAGCAGAATGTAAATAAAGTGGGACCTCAGATGTAATCAGTTTGCTAACATTTTCTGATTAAATTTCTGTTGTTAGTTTGCTGACATTCTGCTAACATTTTGCTGACTGAGTATATATGATTGTAAATAATAAATATACTGTTGTGTATATAAATAAAAATATATGATTGTATATTAAAGTTAATAACTCAATAATGGAAATTAACATGACTTTATTGTAGCATTTAAAAGGAGCAAATTACAAAACACATATAGTAGGTAAATGGCATTTAGGTTACTACAAGCGTGAATACACGCCAACGTATCGTGGCTTTGATACACATTTTGGTTACTACAATGGTCTTCAGGATTATTATAATCATATAGTTATTGACCCAGTAAGTTAAGTCAGAATCAACATTCTTTAATTTTAAATAAAGATAAAAGTTATAGTATTAATTTTGAAATATAAATATGTATTATATTTATTAATAATTATTAGATCATAAAAAGTGATCCACCAGTCCAAGGCTTCGATATGAGGCGAAATTTGTCAGTTGCATGGGACACGATGGGCAAATATTCAACGGATCTTTTTACAGAGGAAGCTGTACGTTTAATTAATGCTCATGATACAAATAATCCAATGTTTTTGTACTTGGCCCATCTTGCTCCTCATAGTGGAAATCAAAACGACTTACTTCAAGCTCCCGCTGAAGAAATTGCCAAGTTTTCCTACATCAAAGATCCAGCAAGAAGAACTTATGCTGGTATAGATTTTTTTTAATATAAAAAAATTTAAGAAAAGTTTGATATGTTAAATATGAAATTTTTATTTTTCTAGTTCCAAAAGTGTAAACAAGAACAAATTTTAATTAATGTAATATATTTTTATAAAAATTTGATATTATTACATCTTAATTTTCTAATTTTTCTAAGATTTATAGAATTTATAATTTGATATTATACGTAGAATATCCCAAAAGTAATAAATTATTTTCAATGAAATGAATATTATTTTCAATAAAATTTATTAATTATAAAATTTATAAATTTATTTTCAATCAAATTGGAAAATAATTATGACTTAAATTTTCGTATTTAAAAAATTATTTCGTGAAAAAAATAGCATTATTTAATTTTTTACGAATTATTATATTATAATCTTATTATCTTTAAATTTTGAGACATCTTGCATGTAACTATAATCCTAAATTATGTTAATGAAATGAGTCAGACATTTTCTTTATATGATTCATAAAATTTAATTGTAAAGAATTAAATTTATTTTATTCATTAACATATTTTTACTTATAGCTATGATTTCTAAACTAGATAACGGTATTGGTGAAGTTATGAAAGCTTTACAGGACCGTAAGATGTTAAAAAACAGCATCGTTCTTTTTATGTCTGATAACGGAGCACCTACTGAAGGTCTCTTTCAGAATTACGGTAGTAATTATCCCCTTCGTGGAGTAAGTATCTGATATAATTATAAAAGAAATTTATCTCCTAACAACATAACATAATTTACTTTAATAAAAGCATAAAATTAAAATATATTTTGATAGATAAAAAGCACTCCTTGGGATGGTGCGGTGCGAACAGTGGCGGCAATTTGGAGTCCTTTAATCAAAAAACGCGCACGAGTATCAAATCAATTAATGTCTATAGCTGATTGGTTACCTACTCTGTTATCTGCCGCTGGTTGGTTATAAATCATTTTCATATATATAATTTTATTAATTATATTATAATTATATTATAAAAATTAATTTATCTACCTCCCTCTTAGCTGTAGAATTGAAGTAATAAACCATTCATCTGTCTACATAAATTAATTTACAAAAGTAAAAATTTATAAAAAAAAACTAAATTAAAAAAAATTAAGTTATAATCGTTTTTATAACATTTATAATTACAATATTGATAATATATGAGTAAGTAGAAGTTAATATTTTATAGAAAAGTTGATAAAAATTAAATATGTGCAGTTTAATATCTATAATAAATATTTATTTGACTAATTAATTTAATTTCGATATTTACTATAATTATATAATATATAATATTATATATTTATATAGTTTATATGTATATATAAACTAATAAAATAGAATTAATAGAACAGATTTTAATATAAAATATAATTCTAATTAATGATAACAAATCTTAATAATATTTAATAATATTGTTGTAGGCATAAATAACGTAAATATTTCCGAAATTGATGGTCGTAACATGTGGCCAGCATTAATGTCTGACAGACTTAATCCTAGACAAGAGATATTGATAAACATCGATGACATCAGTAATTATTCGGCTATTCGTCATGATAATTTTAAATATGTGAAAGGTAAAATTGAAGCAAGTTTTAATTGGGTAGGAGATTCCGGAAGATCATCTGATGAAAATCGATCGCCATATGATCCTGAAAAAGTGCTACATAGCAAAACAGGAATTGCTATCGCTCAAGTACAGATAGCTCAACGAATATCAGAAAAAAAAGAAACATTGATCGAGCTTATGATAACATCCAAAGAAAAAAATCAGAAAAAAACATACTAACTTTTCATAAAATTCTAAAGTTAAGACGTCAAGCTGAAATCCATTGTAACGTATCGAAACACGAAAAAGTGTGTATTATGATAATTTAAACAAAATTTAATATAAAAACTTAGTTATAAACTTTACTATGATATTTAATTATTTCACAGTTGTTGTTGAACCACTTTCAGATATCTGATATTTTAAAGAATTTTGAAGATCTATAATATAAGATATAAAAGATTTTTTTAAACTTTATTTTAAATAAAGATAAACAATTTCTAATGTGTTTTATTTAAAGTTTTATTTTTTATAATTTTAAAGATTTCTTTTTTATGATTTGATTGATTATAATTTGATTTGAATTAAAATGTTATTTGTTTTTTATAGATCCCTTGTGATCTAATAAGATCACCATGTCTCTTCGATATCAAAAATGATCCCTGTGAAATGATCAATATTATTAAACAACAACCTTCCATAGCAGCAAGTTTAGAGATGACTCTATTACAATATAGGTATAATATGGTACCACCAAGTAACGTAAAACCAGATCCACGAGCGAATCCAATATATTGGAATAATACTTGGACTTATTGGCAGGATTCTCACACGTTAACATTTAAATTAAAATTATTACTGGTACTCTTACTATTTATTATTATTATTGCATTTATTATTTTTATGTCTTTGACCATTGCAGAAATCATTTTAAAGTTCACTTTGCTATACGAGATCTAATTTAAATAGTATGAGTACTTGTTATTACAAACATTATTAAAAAAAGTGACAGTATAACTTATTTAGTATATGATGAATTAAAAAATTATGATGCATGATTTTTTGAAACAGTAATAGCTTGACAACATGCTAAATACGAAAATTATTTTAATAAATTATATCTTACCCAGTGATCCCTATCTGTTTAGTTAAAATTGATTAAATTTAAAGTATACCAACATAATCTTTAAATAAAAAATTATATTACTTTCAATGTGTTTTTCTTTATAAAAAATAGAAGATTCTTATTTTATTTAATCTAACATCTTGAAATTAAAATGATCAATTATTTTGAACTTATAGATAAAAAAAGTATTTTTTTCTTGTGTGTGCATTTTACTTTTTCATATCTTTTTTTTTGTATTTCTCAATATTTTAAAATTATAAAGTAATATTTATAAAAAAAAATTTCTTTATAGAAATATATATTTGATATTAATCTATTACAAAAATAGTAACTTATATTTACTTTTAAATAATATAAAACGCATAGTAATTTATCCTTGTTTTATATTACAACTCATTATTAAATATTTTATTTATTTATTGAAATCTCTTTTTCTTTGTACAAAATTTTATGGAAATAGAAGAAATGAATAATTTACAATTATCACGAATTATTTCTGTATTATCTGTGATTTGTCTTCCATGGCTTTCTTTTAATATATATCTAATAATATTGTATTATACTATTAAGCCGGAAGACAATCGTAGATAATTTACAAAATTATATTATATAATTATTAAATTATTAACAAATTAATAAAATAAGAAGGCAACTTTTTAATAAACACTTTTATATTCAATAGAATTATAATACATAATGATAGAATTCTAACATGATCTTGTATATATTTCATATATTTTATTACAAATTTAGTCACCAAATAAAAAAATCAAATATCTAATTTGTGGTTTCATTGTATATCCCATGCATATCTGCTGTACAATATTTATAATACACATAAGTCTGCTCTTCATATTCTCTTTTTTTTTTCAAAGAGGAAAGAGTGACTTTTCCGAGAAAAACGCTAGTTACATTCTGTACATGTATATGTAATTTGAAAAATATCTTTTTCTGACATCCTTCCATTATTCACAATATCCTCACAAAACTATGCTTTATAACCACGTGATTTTTGTCTAAAACATACGACAAGATATTCCAATTATGCATTATTTAACTGCAGGCATAATCTTGGCAGTTGGCACTTGGCAGGAATGTCTCCAGAAGGCAAAAGCAATTTTTGTTTCATTCCCGCTATTCGTTCATCACATGTGCACCACTTTTGGTGTACTAAAATCAGATACATAATAATTATATTATAGCTTATATTATCTTTATTACTTTTGTTTGATTTATAAAATTTAAGAATCTAGAAAAAAATTTATAATGAATATATGGACAACAAGATTAACAATAGGATCAACAATTTACAAAAGCAAATATCTAAACAATTAACAATTTGTGATTTTAAAATTACAAAATGTAGAATTGCGGAATCGATATGAAATTAAGATCCTGTTAAATGATAAATTTATGAATTACGAGTTGATGAAATTAGAAAACAATAGTAATATATGTTTTAAAATTAATAAATTATAATAATGCAAATTTTAAAATAAAAAATATCTTTTTATATTTACCTCTTGCCCCACAACCAATTCAAGAGAACGCTCGATTGGCTTTGAACGTCTCGAGCTATAATTGATTTATTTCGTTAGTATACAGTTTTAAAAATTCGGTATAATGCATTTCTTGCTTTCCTTACTAATCAAATGGGATACCTACAGAGCGTGTAATTAGCGTTGACAAGTCTTGCGGCTGCTTCGGGCGGCAATGTGCTTAAAACATCTCTATGCGCTAATAAGGACATTTGCTGCGTATGTCTTAATTCTCGTTCATCCTTCAATCGTACATCCTTTGCATGACTGACTGAATGTAACTGTGATAACCTAAAGGGAGAACTAGCTTATATCAAGCTGCAAGCGATCTGCAATATGCGAGGAGCGAAGCATATCATGCTAAAGAACAAAATTTTTATTCTTCAATATTGAGCTTCGCGGAATATTTAAACAAATTATGAAAAACGTTTGGATTTTTACTAGTCAACAAAACTTTAATCTCTAAAATTTTAATTAAAGCTCCATCATTCCTGCCACTGAAAGACGTCAGCGACTAGAATGAAGAGGAACTTAATTTTAGTTTAACGATCATGTAACAAATTATTTATTCTCAAGCTTTGATTAACTTTTTCTTTAAATACGCTACATTTAAATACGTTTATACATTTAACTTGTATGTTTATAATACATATTACTTATTTGATTAATATTGTACATTTAATATTAAATCATGAAGTGTCCAATAACATTAATTATTTTCTCTTATAATGAACAAATCAAATATTCAGAGACTACATTTACATACAACAGGTACGTTCAATTTTTTTTTACAATTACACTTAATTACATAAGACTACATTGATTTAAGAATAATCTACAATTTAAAAGAATCTACAATTTTGTAATTATGCAAATAATTTCACTTACTTCAGAGCAAGAGCGTCTTTGTTCTCGATCGGGGTGTCGATAGCTTCTTTCGCGATTTCAACTGGTCCCTCGGACTTCGAAGGCGACGGTTGTTCCACGATAGGTTCTATTATTGCATGTGAAACCGATGATGAATCCTTTATTGGGCTCGCTTCGACGTTGCCAACTTTCCTGAGCTCTTCGTTCACCCGAATTGCGTTAGACAATCGCAATTGTAACGTATCACGTTCCTCAAGCAACTGCATCAGTTCGTGAGTCAACTCCTCGCATCTGACATCTCTTTGATGAAGCATATATAGTGCGAAATCTAATTCGTTAGAAGTCCTTTCCCTGTTGTCGTCAACCGTTGGTTGGACGATTTCCGAGCTCTTTGACGACGCTGCTTCAATGACAATGGGTGCGTCTTTCTTCAAGGCGTGCTGTATCAGTTCATGTTCCGAAACTTTTTGTTCCAACAATTCCTTCAATCTATTCACTTCTGTCTCGCTAATTGTCAACGTTTGTCTCAATTCATCCAATTGTTTCTCCTCCTCCGCGGACAATGCTAAGAGTTCTTCTATGCGCAATTCTTTTTCGTGGATCTGCACCTTTAAGTTATGAAGTTCAGTGTCTTTGGTTATGCTCAGCTCGGCCAATCTTTTCTCCTTCTCCGCCAGCTCGTCGATTGCATGCATCAATTCATTTTCTTTTTGTCGCAACTTATTTCCCCGATCATCTGCCGTCGTTCGCAACTGTTCGTATTGCCCTTTCAGATTCTCAATATCGCTATCCTTCAATCGAAGTTCCGCAAGTAACTTCTGATTCTCCTCCGATAGCCTCTGCTTTATTTCATCGATCTCCGATTCTTTCTTTTGCAATTCTCTGTTCAAGAATTCCTCGGCATCGATGCGGATTTGTTCTTTCTCCGAAGTTAATCTCTCGATTGCATTTCTGCTCTCCTCAGAGAGCCTCTCGTAATCTTTAAGATGCAAAATCCCTTCTTCTTGTAGCTTCGTGATAGTTGACTTTAACATCTGTATTTCTTGCTCCTTGCCGTATAATTCTCCCATCAATCTTTGTACAGTTTCACGCAATTCGAAATCGTCCGACTGAGGCTCCATACTAGCCTGGAGAGATAATTGTGAATCTTTCTCGGCTATAATATACTTCAATTCGTTAATCTCCTGTTGCTTTGCATGCAATTCGTTCTGCAACTTAACAATTTCCTCCTGATCGTGTACAGATCGTCTTCGATCTCTGGAGAGCAAACCGACTTCCTCCTTAGAAATGTGCTCCTGATTTTGTCCGTTGATGCGTTGCGTCAAAAGATTAACTTGCTCCTGTCTCTCTGTCAAGCTCTCCGTAGTTGCTCGCAAAGAAGTCTCTAGCGTAGCCTTTTCATTATACAGACAATTGATTCTGTCCTGCATTTGCTGAATAATTGTAGGATACGTATTCTCACTTAAAACGTATTTCAAATGCTCCAGCTCTTGCTGCTTGACTTCCATTTGCGCCTTCAATTCGCTTATAACGCTCTGTAGTTCCGCGTCATCGTCGTGGCTTATTCCAGCAACCGGAAGACTGTCGCTCATCTGAGAACTCAGCTGATTACGCAATCTCCCCAACTCGGCCTGCTTATCGTTCAGTTCTTGGTTCCTGATCTCCAATAAAGAATCTTTATCACTCATCATGGCTCTGATTCCTTCCAGATCGTTTTCCTTAGCACACAATTGCGCACTCACATAATGCAGCTGCTCGGTTTTTTCTTGTAAGTCACGTTTTAAAGCATTGATTTGCTCTTTGTGGCTTGCGAGTTGCGTTTGATATATCTCGGCCTCCCGATTGTATTGCAATAGGAACGATTCTTTTGCCGATTTTAAAACTTGAATTTCTTGTTCCAAACTGTGAATACGCGAGGTATACTCTTGTAAGTCAACTGTGCTTGTTGTTTCCGTGGCATTCAACTGGTTCTGCAGATGTTGGATGTCCGTTAAACATCTTTCCACTTCTGCCGTGAGTTTTGTCTTTTCTTCCTCATATTGTATCAATTCCTGTTGTTTCTCTCGCAATTTTTCGCTCATCAAATTCATATCAGCTTGAATAGTTCCTATTATTGAATTTCGTTCTGTTAAATCCTCTTTCAGATATGCAATTTGCTGCTGTTGCATTTCCAATTTCTCCATGTAATCTTGCAGTTTCAAATTATATTCGTCGGCTGTGGATTGCAATGCTATTAATTTCTCTGTTAAATCATGCAGTTCTTTATCTTTTTCTTCGATCTCTATCGCATGCTTTTGAATTAATTTCTCTGTAGCTTCACTGACAATAGCATTCACCGTTTCTTGTTGTACCAACTCGTGCTCCTTGTCACTGAAAGCTTGCTTCAAGGTATCCAAATCTTGTTTCTTCTCATCCAATTCTTTTGTCAAATTTTGTATTTCTGTTTGTAACGCTGCTTCAGCTTGTTGTCGTTCCACGTATTGAACTTGAAGTTCTTGCTTCAAATCAGCAACTTCTTGAACTCTTGCATTAAGTAACTCCGTGACTTCCATTAGAGATGCATTAACGGCTGAAAGGTTCTCTTCTGATCTCATTAGAGTATTGATTTTACTTTCCAAAATTTCTTTCTCTTCTACAACTTTCTGTAAATGACTTATCTCTGTTTCATATTTGTCGATCTTTGTTGCATATTCAGCCTTGAGGAGATCGCTGGCTTGCTGCATCGCTGTTACTTGATCACTTGCGTTAATCAAACTTTGCTCATATTGTTTCCTGAGGACATTATATTCTTCTTTACTTTTGTTTAATGCACTTTCTAGTTGTGCATTTTGATTGTTTAATGTATCTAACTTCTCCATAAGCTCATCAATATTACTGTTACCTTTTGACTCCAAATTTGCCATCGTTGCTTTTTGCTCTTCTAAAAAGTGTTGCAACTGTTCGTTTTCTGCTGCAAGTGCTTCTAACTCGTCCTTTAAATCGTCTATTTCTTCCTTGTACTTCTTCGATATTACTTCTAAATCATCACTAGATTCCGCTGATCTTTTTTGGGACTGATTATGCGTAGTAGATTTATCAACTTCATGATCTTCATTTTGCGAGAGAACAGTAACATTTTCTATGTCAGTCACATTTTCTTGTAGTCGCCACTCTAAGGATTGTACTTTGTTATTCAGTTCCTTGTTCTGAATACGCAATACTTCAATTTCCATATCTTGTCTCTCTTTCATCTCCATATATCTTTCATTAGCCGACACTACTACGTCAAGTCGTTTCAATAAAGCCTCTTTTTCGGCAATAATATTTTTCTTCTCGTCCTTAATTTCATTAAGAGCTTTTTCCAAACTGGCGATTTGCGCCTTCAATTCCTCTTCAATCGCCGTATCCAAGTCGAAAAAGCTATCAGCCTGCTTCTGCGTTTTTAATTGTTGTTGCAAGCCTTCTATCTGTACTTTATATTCTTTCAATTTCTTTACTAACTTACCACTCTTTACCTGCGCTGCTTTGTTCTCTTCGGCAATCCTAGCATTTTGCATTTCCAGATCTTTGATTTTATTTTGCAAGTCTTCTACTTTCGCACGTAACTGCATTTCGGCGCTCAACGTCATTGTACTGAGAAGCTGAGTGCTAACTGCCGCTTGAGCATTCTCCGCATTCCAACCCCAAGATTCTTCATCGACATTAAAATTCTCAGAACTATTGTCCCAACCAATATCCAATTGGATATCTTGCTGTCCTTCTTTTTCAATAGGAGTTTGTGTTGTTTGTACATGTTCTTGTTGGCTAGTCGATTTTTCGATAACCGTAAGAACTTTTAATTCTTCTTGAACAATCGACTTTTCCGCAGAAGAAGACTGTTTCGAGATATCTTCACGTATCTTTGACTCCTGTTTTAAATCATCCAAAGCTTGAGTGAGATTCGCGATGAGTATTTGTGCCTGATCTCTCTCTCGCAAAGCATTCTCTAATTCAGCCTGTAAATTACGTTGACTCATAAGTGATTCCTTTAATTCCTCCAAAGATCGTGTCAAATCATTCACTTGTAATTGCAGCAAGTCTCTCTCTGTAGTAGTTGTAGAGATACGCTGTTTCCATTCTTGTATTAAATCATGATCACTAATGATCTTTGCTTCTGTTTGCAGATTATTTATTTGAAGTTTATACGATTCAATTTGCTGATCTCGTTCTATCGTTAATGCTTTTACAGTTTCTTTCATAGAAGTTAATTCTGTTTTTATCGCATTAATTTCGGTATCCTTAAGTGAGATTTCTGTTTTTAAATCTTCCTCTACATTCGCGTATTGCTGTATTCGTTGATTTACGGTATTTAATTCCGTAATCAATAAATCCATCTGTGTATTCTTATCAGTCACAAGTTGCTGCAATCTCTCCGATTCCGCTTTAGCAATATGATATTGTTCTTGCAACGTTTTCAATTCATTCATTTGATAAGTTACATTATTCAATTCTATATTCAATGAATCTACCTGCGCGTTCTTTTCAGAAAGAAGCTTCTCTATTTTTTTCAATTCATTTTGTGAATCATCAAATTGATTATGTAATTTTTGAACAAGCAATTTTTCTTCCTCTATATTATTAAGTAAAAGATCTATTTGTTTCATATGTTCAGAACACTGACTCTGTTTCTCATTTAGTAGACTTTGCAGTCGTTCTATTTCTTCTTTATCTGAAGCAATAGCTGTATCAAAGATTTGTGCTTCGAGTAATTGTGAAGCGTCTTCTAGCCTCTGTTGTTGCTGATTTTCAGTAGGAATATCTGTTGTATCAGGAATTTCAACTTTGCATTCCATGTCTTTGTATTTATATTTTTCCAACTCACCCTCCAATTCCGACACTCTCTGTTCGCTCATGGCCTTTTCTGTTTTCAAAGAATCGATTTCTTGTTGCAACGTATTCGTTTGGTCTACAAGTGACTGATTAAAGCGCTCCTGAGCAGTTTGCATCATCATATCATTATATCGCTGAGATTCATCATGAAGCAACACGATATTACCGTAGGAATTGGCCAATTCGTTATTCAGATTTTCAATTTCCGCTTGACGTTCTTGTAAGCGCGCTTCCAATGCTTGCATCAAATTCTGACATTGTTCGGAATGGTCACAATGTTGCGCGATGCGTGTGTCATCTTCTCTTACACTTTGTTCCGGAACTTGTGCGGTCACCGTCATAGATGCAATCTCCTTCTGTAATTCCTCGATTAATACACGACGCTCTTCCGATTTCTTCTCGGCATTTTCTAGTTTTTCATCAATTTGTCTTTGTTTGGACAACAATAGACCATTTTCCGCCATTAGGTTCTTAATTGTAGCAAGTTGTTCCACATATTCGGTCTCCATCACTTGCATGCGAACACTTAATTCTCGCGCCTCTTCTTTTACCTCATCCAGTATTGTTTGTTTTTGTTCATCCTCTTTACTGGTAGTTTGTTTGTAAAGTTCATACTCTTTGGCAATGTTCTCCTTCGCTGTTTTCTCCGCTATTACTTCAAGAGAGATGCGTTCTATTTCTGCCCGTTGTTTCTCGACCTCCTCGTCCATTTCTGAAATATGCTCCATTAACACCATAATCTTTTCTTTCAAACTGCTTGATTCCTTCTCAAATTTCTCTGAATTTGTAAGAATATCATTTTTTGCCTGCAGCAATTCCTTCTCCAAATCACGGATTTTGTTGTCCTTTTCTCGCATGGAAATTTCCACTTCCTGTATCTGCTTATTTTTAACTTCTTTCTCATCTTTCTCCGTTGTCCATTTCTCCTCCAACTCAGCGACGCGCGCTTCGAGTTCTTGGCACGCTATCTTCTTTTTGTTGAATGTTGCCACAATTTTTTTCATCTTTTCGGATTGCGCCTGTAGCTTACTCTCTGATTCTGAAAGTTTTTGTTCCAAGTCCTCAACTTTGCTCTCCAATACAGTTTTCACATCTTCTGTGATATTTTTACCGAGTAATTCTTTCTTTTGTTCTAATTCTACTTTTATAGCTTCGTTTTCCTGTGTTTTCTCAACTAATTCCTCAATAACATCTTCCAATCTTCGATTCAACATCGCCATATCCTCCATATGCTTAATTTTAAGCCGTTCCATCTGCTTATATTCATCCGTTAACTCCGACTGTATTTTCTCAACATATGTAGTTTGATTGTCCAAAATCGTTTGTAGTTCCAAAATGCGTTTTTCAGCTTCAGTCTTATCGTTCTTGATTTCTTCAATTTGTGCTTCCAAATCTTTTTTAGCTGCAAGTAAACCATCAATTTCCTGTTCTTTCTTAAATAGTTCATTTTTAACATTTTCGTCATGCTTTGATATATCCTGAATTTTTTGTAATAAATCATTATTTTCTCTTAAGATGTCTTCATGTTTATTCTGTAATTCAATATAACTTGTTTCTTTATTTTGCAAATCCTCTAATATTTTTTTAAATTCTGTTATAGGCTTAGATTGTTCCAATATTTCAGTAATTTTACTAGTTAGAATATGGACTTCCTCTTCTTTTTCCTTTACTATATTACTAAGTCTCGCAACTTCTCCTAATGATGAAGATAAAGCAACTTCGTTTTCTTTAAGTTTGATCGAATAATTATTCAACTCGTCTTGTAAATTGTCTATAGTAATCATTCCATTTTGCAACTGTGAATATTTGGTATGCAATTCTTGATCTTTCCTTTCAATTTCTGCCTTCAAATTTGTAACTTCGTGTTCTTTCGCAGTTATATTCGCTACTTCATCTTGTAATTTTGTCTCGAGAGAGCCTATGATACCTTGAAGATGTTCTCGTAAAGTAACAGTTGCCACATCTTTTTCTTTTATCACTTCTAGCAATTCCTTGTTACCATCTTCCAATGTCTTGAAAGCTTCTTCTATCGATGTTTTTCCTTGTTCCAGAGCTTGCATTTTTTCTTGCATCTCGTCATATTTGAATTTCCATTCTTCTGCAGTAACAAACATATCCTTCAGTTCACGTTCTAAACTCTCCAATTTTCCATCCGATGCTTCATACTCTAGCAATCGTTTAGCTTTTTCCTGTAACTCGGCTTCCATGCTCTCCAACTTCATATTCATTTCCTCTATCTGATTTTGATACTCCACGATTAATATTTTGCTATTCTCTAATTCCTTCTCCAAAGATGCTACAATTACTGCTTGCGATTCCTGACACGCATCTTCCTCTGCTTTTCGTATCTCCGAAATTTCGTCAGACGATTTCTGTAAAAGCATACTTATTTGCTCGTGCAGTTCCTGTCTTTCATGAGCAACATTCTCTTTCTCTTGGTTCAATTTCTCCAATTTATCGATTAGTTCCAATCTTTCTCTAGAGAAATCACTACTCGTCATATGTTCCAGCTTCAGATCCAGATCTTCTTTCTCTTTAGTAATTTTATTTAACTCTTCTACTTGACTGTTAATATGTTGTTCGAGCTGTGAAATCGTCATTATCATTTGCGCGTTTTCTTTCTCCAATGTTGCGAGTTTAGACTTTGTATCATCAGTTTCACACGATGTTACATTAATGGATTGTTCTACTGAAGCTTTCCGCAATTGTGCCAGTTCCTTTTCAAGAATTTGTTGTCTCTCTCTTAAGACATTAATTTGATCAGTAGATTCTGTTATCTGAACTGACATATGAGAAATATGAGACAATTCCACTTCAAGACGTTCCTCTAATTTCGTGCGATTTATAACTAACTCAGTATTCTCTGTTGTCAACATTTCTATACGATTTTGCAGCCTGTTATTTTCATCTGTGAGATCCGTTATTTGTATTTTAAGTTTGGATATCTTTTCCATCAAATCATCATTTTGTTGGGTAAGCGTCTCGATCTGCAATCGTAAGTTGCTATCAATCTTGGAGATGTCCGATTGAGCACTGCCTTCTATTTGATTTAATCGTTCTTCCAGTTTTGTTAATTTGATAACAAGCTCATTATTCTCTTGAGTAAGTAATTCGATCTTTGTCGTGTTGTCATTTTGCTCTGAGATGCGCTCAAATGATTCTGTGGAACCTGTATCGGACGAACCTTTTTCTTCAATCCTATTCAATTTTATGGTCAGATCACTGTTCTCCTGTGTCAATTGCTCGATTTTCTTCATCAATTCACTACGATCTGTATCATTTATGGTTTCGAAAGATTCCGTGGAACCGGCATGTGAACCATCCTTTTCCTCTAATTTCGATAATTTAAGTGTTAATTCATTATTCTTCTGTTCTAAATCCTCAATTTTTTTCAATAAATCGTTTCTATCATTCATTTGAATAGCTTCGAAAGATTCTGTCGAACCAGTATCTGAAGCACCCTTCTCCTCTATTTTATTTAATTTGTTATATAATTCTGAGTTCTCCTGCGTCAAGATATCAAGTTTTTTTAAGAGTTCATGATATTCGGATTCAAATTTATTATCACTTTGTTCTTTGTGTGCTGTTTCCAGTTGCTCTTCCAGTTCGACGATCTTCATCTCTGCAGTCACTCTGAGATTTTCTGATTCCGCATTCTCAGCTTCTAAAGCTACAACTTCCTGCTTTACTGTGTGAAGCTCTGAAAGAAGATAAGTAAGCTTTACAAACTTATTTCATTGGATTATAAACGTGTCGATTCGTTTACGTAATAACATTATAATGCATGTACATATAGAATTAGAAGTACAATTATTAATGCTGCACACAATAATTAATAATCCATCAAAGAAAAGCGGAACAGCTCATAATATACATAGTTAATAATACATAGTTTTATCAATATTTATAATAATAATACATAGTTTTATCAATAATAATACATAGTTTTATCAAAATGTGTAACATAATTTCATAATAGATTATTTAAACTGCCAATACACAAAAACATCTTTTGCATAGATTATTCAATGTAACAAATTACCTTGCATTAGATCTAACTTTTGGTTCTCTAAGGTGGCGATTGCATCAATATGCATCTGTATCTCTTTTGTTTGAGATGAAACTTTACTTTCCAGGTCAGCAACACGTTCTTGCCAATCTCCTGCCGAGGCTGTGCAGATCGTATAATTTGCCAATAACATACGTGCAATTTCATATTCGTTCATAATAAGCTTAAAGCAAGCGATTAAATGCTAATAAATTTTGACAAAATTTCTATTTCTTTATGCAATTTGTTAATTATTCTATTATACATTATTTGTTATAAAAAAATCAAACCATCAATAAATTCTCATTTTTAAAGCATAATAAGCTTATAATTTATTTTTCAATATTGTATATATTATTCCAAAAAATCTAGAATATTTAATAAAATCGTAAATTAAAAATTAATATTTAATATTATTTATACATGTGCATATAGTAATATTGAGTGTATTACATTTTTGAAAACATTTTTTATAATTTAGAATAAGATATTCTTTTTCTTCCTCCTTTTAATAGCATCAGATGTATGTAAAAATCATAAATTATTATTTTATAATTATATATTATAAATTATATACTTCAATTTATTTTATTGTATTTAACTGTTAGCTGCATTATATACATCAATCAAATAATACATACATCAAAATTAATTATATGCACAAAGTATTTTCAATTATTGTTTTTTTAATAAAAGCACATAATAGTGATAGCAAACAAGTACATCATAAAAATTCAAAATTGTTATTGAAACACATGCAATTAATCAATTATTCCAATGAGCATCAATTATTAAAATGAGCAAATATGTGGGATAAGTATTAAGAATAAATCTACTTCTAGAATAAGTGCGCAGCAAACTTTGACAAGTAAAGTAGGTACCAAGTAGATAGGTTATATTCGCTTAACAAGAAATATTTCAGATATTGATAATTGAAGCGTACAAAACAAGAAAAGAATTCCATCACCAGAAATGTCTTAAAAAGTATTATTTTTCATTTTCTTTGTTTTTCAAGTGCTCGCGCAAATCAAATAAAAATCGCGCAATTAATTGATATTTGTAATATTTCATCTATTTCTATACTTTATACTTGTGAAATTCATATAAAAATCAATTATTATTACAATCTAATTTATATTATTAGATTGATATACAATATTTAGATCTTTGTTTTGTTGTAAAAAAAATATATATATATAAATAAAATTACTAAATAATTTTAGGACTACTTTTCATTTATAGAGGAAACAGGGCTGTGGAAAACAGGCTATCCCGATAAAAAAATATTAACACAGATCGTATTAAAAATCCGGTAATATAACTAGGACAATGGAAACGTCGACGATAAAACGTTTGTCCTGGTTCCTACCTTTAAGCTCGTCAAAATCTACCAGATTCAGCTGAAGGTTACCTTTCTCCTCTTCCAATAATGCCACTTGATTGCCTAATCTAACGAGTTCTGCATTTGTATCGGATATCTAATAAAATATATACATTATTATTTTGATAGACACAGAAATTTGTGAATATATTCCAACGAATTACATTTTCAATTTAATATTCAATATTATTGCCAAAAAAGCCAAAAAAAGAAAAATAAAAATTTATACATCTTTTCTAATTATAATCAATAATCTTGGACATTAAAATCTAGAAATAGTATTTTAACTCTTACCATTTTGAAGTTTTCCAATTGCTTCTGTAAGTTTTTCACTTTACTTCTATGTTGAGCCTTTAATTTGATCATACTTTTATTTAAATCTTCTAATTCTTTTGTCAATTTTATTACTATGTCTGCTTTAGGTACTGCTTGCTCAGTTGACAATCTCGCTGCAATATCATTCCTTTCTGCTTCGAGTTCATGTACTTGCTTCTCAAGATCAATAATCTTATTGGATTGTTCTTCGTTTTTGGATGACAATTCGACCACTTGTTTCTGCAACTCAGCCTTCGATTCTTCTTCCAATAGTTTATTCGATTCTTTAAGTTCCTCTATTAAATTTTCAAGTTCTGATATTCTATTGTCTTTTTCGATAATTGCATCATTACCATGAACTGATTTACTAGCAATTATTTTATCCTGTAATTCCGCAATATTTTTCTGCAATTTATATTTCTCATCTAGAAGCTGTCGATTATTCTGTTCCAATTTCTCTATCCTAAATTGTAAATCTTCGACTGCTGGAGTTGTCACTATACCAGCACCAGATTCCAATTGAAATATTCTTTCTTTGGCTTCTGCCAATTTTATTTCATATTCTTCCAATTGCTGAAGAAGATTATCATTTTTCAATTTTAACGACGATTCAACAAGAACAAAATTTTCTTGCATTGATTTCATTGCATCTTTAGTCTCCGCTAAAGTATCCATAGTGGAACGTGAAAAATCCGCACTTGCTGATTCAGCTATCTTTTGTTTTTTGAGTTGTTCTTCAAATCTATAAAAAACAAATAAATTTAAACAAATAAAAATTTAAAACTGATAAACTTAAAAAAACTTAAAAAAAAACTTAAAATTAAAATTTTATAGAAATAATATTACGATATTATTACGTCAACAATTAATATATTACTATAAACAAATTTTAATAAAATTAATCCAAAATTCTTTTTAATTTTGCCTAATAATATAAAAGTATTCTGTTAGCAATAATTCGAATATTAAAATATGTAATAATTTAAAATAATATTACTTATAATTTTAATATTACTTATAATTTTTTAATAAAAAGGCATAATATTAATATAATTAAAAAATATATTACCTATTGACTGTACGTTCTAATTCCGATAACCTGTTATCTCTTTCTTGTAGTTGTTCTAGCAAACTACTATTCTTATTTTTCAGAGACGTTTCGATTAAGACAAAATTTTCTTGCATTATTCGCATTTCGTCTTTCGTATCTTCGAGAGTATCTAATGTCGTTTTACCCTTCTTAGAGAGGTCTGCAGACATAAGAGTAACTGCTTTTGTTTTGGAGTCAATAACAGAATCTTTCTCTTTTAAATTTTCTCGAAGGTCCAAGATAGTAGCTTCCAACTCGATAATTTTGTTATTTAGTTCCGTGATTTTTTTCTCCTTTTCTTGAATGTCTTGAATTTGAATTGGTGACATCACCTTGAATTAAAAAATCAAAGTGTAAATTATTTAAGATTGAAAAGTTTCATAAATAAATTACTCATAAAACATTATTCTTTGTATTATAATCATTAAAAAAGTTACAAAAAATTACTTAAAAACAAAATTATTTTAACAGAATTTATTAGAATTTATTAGAATAAAGAATACAAAAAACTAGATAGAACTCACATCTGAAGTAATGACAAGAGGCCTAATTGGTGTGATAGCTAATTGATCCTTATATTCCGCTGCTGCTAAATCTGTTTCATCCAATTGTTGCCTGATAGCTTCCACTTTCTCTTCCACTTCTCGTTTTGTTTTTGTCAATTCTTTGCTACGTTGCTCAAATACTTTTCTATTTTCTGCCAACTTTCGTTGAAGTAAAGAAGATTTTGCTTTTGGGGTTTTCGCTTGACTTATGTCATCAATTGTATCATCTGCTATATCCTTTGCTGTAGATTCAGTCTTATGTAAATGCGTTGTGTTAGATGATGAAGCTTCTTCTTTACTGCGACGTGATAATTTGGCTCTGGATTTAATTTTTGATAATCTTCGTGCATATTCCTAAATATAGAAAAATTAATATAACATTATTCCTAAGATAATACAAAACAAGATATAGATTTTAAATATTATACTTTTCTTTCTTAAGAAAGATTTTCTGCAAATTTATATTTTTAAAAATATGAATTCTAAAATATTTTAATTGTTTTAATGATTTTTATATACCTGGACTTCTTCTTCTTTTCTCTTTAAACTTTGTTGATTCCTCATCATGATTTCTTTGAGGGATTCTAATTGATTTTTATTCTGCTCACATGTCTCCTTCGTGTGTACCACAGCCTCAGGAGGGCCACCTTCCATAGCGTCTGATGATTTCTCAGACGCGCTCCACATTATGCACTGTACAAATAAAAGCAATACAAACCACTGCATTATTTATTTTCAACTCTTTCTAATTTTAAGTATACTCTAACAAAAAAAAGACAACTGGTAAAGTCAATGGCAGTGAAAGTTTTTCTAATATGGCAAAACAGAATATCATTGTTCTGATTTTCCAGATCTAATTGGATAGGGTCTATACTGGGGTAAACTAATCGCATTAAGTCTCGACGTAGATCAGACCTTTTCATATTCCTCCTCATTTCTACATGATATTCAGGTAAGGTCAAACATCATGTATCTTTCCTCCATTCTTTACTTTAAAAGTGCCAATAATAACAGAAAAAGATATAAGTCATATATTATTATTGAAAATTTTATTAAAATCATATCTTGCTAATTTATTCAGATATATCATTTAGACATAAGATATTTTAGAATCATTCTCTTTTATTTCTATTATTGTTCATCAATATTAAATCATAATTTCATTATTCTGAAACATTAAGTTCTACTTTTTAAATTCTTTATTGTTATCATTTCTATTTTGATCTTAAGTACACGGAACAAATTCAATGAGCATGTCACACAAAATTCTAAACAAATAAAATTTGTAAATACATATTAAATTAAATTTACAAGGAGCTAAAATCTTTATTATAGCACATCCATTATTTTGATACAAAATATTGCTTGACTTGATACTACTTATACAGAAGATGCTATAATCATAATTCAGAATTTAAACCTTACCTTTTATCTTTTATGATTTATTCTGTTTAATTTAAAAAAAAAAAAATAAATATATATATATATATATATATATATAAGATATCACGACATTAAATAAAAATAATTAATATTGTTAAATCTTAAAAAAAGATTATATTTTTCCATTCTATGCAGCACTGTCATGTAACAAAAATATTTTCAAAAAAAACAACATACTTATATTTATTTAAGGTTATACTTATTTAAGATTATTTCATAATAACAAGAAAATTTAATTAATGTGAAATATTATCTTTACTTGTTAATTTATACAAATATAATAGAATATAATATTTATTTTGTCCATAAATTAATAATAAATACTTTTAATAATAAGTAATAATTAATTAATATAAATACTTTTATAGTAGTTTCATATTGTTTCTACATAAAAAAGTTAAAGGATAACATTTTGATAACATTTGCATCCTTAAATTTTTTGCAATAAAATCAAGCAATTTTTACAGTACATATTGTAAATAAAATATACAAAAAAAAAAGAGAAAAGATATCAAATGAATAACTTAATATAAACCAATTTATAAAGACATACACATTAACTTTGTCAACTCAATCAAGATTTTAAAGAACTATTTTAAAGAACAAGACTAAATCTTCAGATATAATAATAACTATAATAATATATTGTTTCTACATAAAAAAGTAATTAAATAATAATGTTCTGATATAGCTATATCCTTAAATTTCTTGTAATAAAGCCAAGCAATTTTTACAGTGCATATTGTAATCAAAATATATACAGGAAAATAGAAGATATTAATAAATAATTTAATACAAACAAATTTATAAAAACGTTTATATCAATTTTGCCAACTTGATCAAGACTGTAAACCATCAGCTTGTCAAAATATAAAAGTCTAGGACTAGAATTAGTAGAGCTGTTGATACTGCATATATATATGATCGCAAATTTTAAGATCACAATGATCGAAACAGCCTCGAAAATTCTCGCCGATCGGAAATACGTGTAACGTAAAACTGTTCAGTTATCCGGAACGGAGACGCATTGAACACGTAGCAAAGTGACGTAATCCACGCGGGGACGCACGTGAGGGAACCGCGAATTCGACGAGCGGATCGCGCGCGGATCTTCCGCGAACATCATCGTCAGGGACGCAGCTTGGCGCGATCAGGATGAGGAGAAGAAGAATCGGAGAAACACCCGAAATCTCGTATGGCTTTTACGTACCTTCTGTTTGGCGTCGCGCGAAGTGTCAGGAGAACGACACGTCGTTGCGCATAATTAGGTCGCCCCGTCGCCGATCGCGATTTCTCGGCGTTACAGATGAGCGCGTGTCAAAGGCGCATACCACGACGAAACGGCCCGCAAGCTCCTGCGAATAAACGACGGTGAGTTCCCTACGCGAACCCGAAACGAGACCGACCCGACATCATCGTCGTCGCCTTCGTGCCATATTTTCACGGCCGGAAATAGCGGATGCCTCCCGCGCCGCGCCGCGGCGAGTGCCGTTGTCTTCCAGAGACAGAATTGCGGTATCATCGTCGGCAGATAAGAAAGAATCCTTCCGGATAAATTTGTCGGTACTCTTGAGGTTTTTTTTCTGTTTCTGCATTGAACACTATGTACTGAAACTTTCTACCTCTTTTGTCAAATTTCAAGTATATATACAGGTACTTGTTTTTTTTAGCTGAACCTCTTGCATTGTTTATTTTTTCTCTTTTTCCCTCCAATATGGGGAAAAAAAGAAGAAAGATGAACTGAAAAAGTTCAACTGAAAAGAAGAGACGTTTTACAGTGTATGTTAGTATAGGCTTAGTGTTGACTAAAACGGCGAACGTTTTGCTGAACACTATTACCGCGGGACACGCATATGTCCCATAATTTGATGGATTGGTCTTTCGAATCGGCTATAAAATATCATTTGTCGTCACGTGAATCGATGAGAGCGAGTGTGGCATAGTAGACAGCGCATTGATTTACTATGCCAGGGCCGGGATTCTGTACATATCCACCGACAACCGTCGGTGTCGTGCCTAACGACAGCCAATGCAAGGACGATCTTGGAAAAAAGCGCGGCTGTTATTGGCTGTCATTAGTTAACGATACCGATAGTTGTCGGTATCGTTAACTAACGACAGCCAATGGTAAGGACGATCTTGGAAAAAGCGCGGCTGTCATTGGCTGTCGTTAGTTAACAATATCAATAGTTGTCGGTAAGCGAGTACAGAATCCCGGTCCAGGGGTCCCGGGTTCGATTTCCGGCAGAGCCAAAATATTTACGCTCATTTCTTTCTCGGGAGACAATGGCAAACCACCGAGAGTAACTTTGCCATGAGTGTCTCTCTACCGAAAACTTGCCGTTCGGAACCGGCGTTAAACTGTAGGTCCCATATGTCTGTGGTATATCATCGTGCCACAGGAATATGAGAGAGAGATCATCACCATACTAGGACGTGATCTCTCCCTTCCCCCCTTCCTGTCCCTATAACCGGCCATCACTCCAACCGCACGCGAATTCCCCTTTATAGTTCTTCTATCCCATACCTTGCATAATCGTTAACGCTGTAAAAAATTTGTGAACTGTCATCTGCAAAAGCTTTTACACCGTTCACATCTTTCGTGACTCTATCGTGACTCTCAAGACTTCCTCGCTATTTGGCATTCACGATCATATATGTAGACACATTTGTCATTGGCACCATCAAAGATCTCTCTGCCGTCATTTGAGAAAACAAGTGAGAAATTGCCGGAGATAATTGTTATATATTTTAAAGTTATTTAGGTTTTCTTTGACATTTAGATTTGTGATAATGTTGAAATATGCAGAATATTACAGAATTGGTTTTTGAAGATTTTTAATATTTTATATATCGTTTTTTATTAAATTATCCATGTATTTCGTGCATGTGTGATTACCTTAAGGCATTCGTAGAGGCACCTGTTTTAGCTAGGGTTTTATTAAAAATATCGGATTATGGATTATGCATCTCTAATGCTTCTCTCCCTCCCCCCCCCCCAGATATGTGACATTGTACAAGCAATTAGCCCAACCTGAATACGCAAAGTTCATCGAAATTGAAGACCAATATCTATAACATTCCAGTCACGTGCTAGCATTTGACTTTTTATAAAAGTTCTGAATTCTTTTTTGTACGTTCGATATATGTACAATTTTTTATCTTGAGTGGCAGTGAATCTTGAGTGGAAAAATTTCTTCTTCTACCTTCATATTATTTTAAGGACCTTTAAGGTCCGTTCTATCTCACTCTCATATGCCTGTGCGCATGTAAATAATGCACAGACATGTGAGACCTATTTTTTAACGCCGGCGTTCTGAACGGCTAAATTTTTTAAGAGGTTCTGGGGGCAAGAATTACTCTTATGGTTTGCCAGACCGTCGAGAGGAGACACGAGCGTATGAAAATATTTTGATTCTACCGGGACTCGAACCCGGGATCGAGCGTATTAGACCAATGCGTTATCTACTATGCCACGAAAATCGAAAATTC